CCGCCCGGGTTCTTCTTCCTCTGTCTTCTACTGTTGCGTTTTCTTCTCTTATACGACTTTAGTTCCCTGCCGGAATACTTCAACTAATCCTACATCAAAGTGGTACCAGATTGTGCCGGAATACTTCAACTAATATAATACCACTTGTAGCAGCACACAAAGATAAAATTGATATTATTTTAGATGAATAGATTGTATTGACCAACGATTGGGAGATCCGGTGCTTTCTTGTTTGCTGTGTGGATCGACCTAATTCTGAGTCTATAAGGATTGTCAGAGAGAAGCTCCAACAAATCTGATCAAGTTTTAGTTTCGATATTTGGTTCTTCAGAAAGATCGTTTGCCGTGGTCCTTTATGATTTATCCACTCGATCGAGTCGAGGTTTTCGTCTAACCTTGGAAGAATTGACAAGGACATCCATTTGATTAATATTTGGGTTTTATTATTTTGGACTATTAAATTGGGTTTGTATTTGGGCCTAACCTAAGCCACAACTATATCTACAAGTGGGTTATTGGATGTGAAAGAGGGGAGACGATGATTGGAAATTTACAGGCTTTATTCCCACTTCTTTGAAATATCTTTTGACTCTGCCTATGTTTTTCATAGACGGTCTCAAATCTGGGTAAAGGAACTTTGTGTCAAATTATTATGACATGAATAATATAGTCAACTCATAATTTATTCGAAACGATGCTTAATTTTTGTTGTTTTTCATTACAGGCTGAAGTAATTGTTGACGGGTCTGTGGTAAGGAGTGGCAGGAACTTGACAGTAGTTGTAGTTGAGTTTAGACATAAGGAATCAGGGCGACTAGCATTCATAACTCGTGCTACATTCTATAATATGCCCATTGCAAGTTTATGATCCAACGCTTAGTTCAAACATCAAAGATACAGACATCTTGGTACGTTGCATTTTTACATTAACATCCCTGCTTTATAATTTATTTTTCCTATATATTATTTTGGTGAGAAACTGTTCCTGGTTATTAGTTAAGGTAAGCGGCAAAGGTAAATAAATAGAGTAATGCTATTTAACGCTACTAGAGTTATAATCCCAGTCTATGTGGTGTTAATGTGGTATTAAATGATAAGTGAAATTAAATGGGTTACTTAATTTCACCTTTTATTTAGTTTATCACCTAACATCACATAAACTGGAATTATAATTCTAGTGGGGCTAAATGATATTATTCAAATAAAAATGTTAACAAAAATCCAAGTTACGGAAATTGGCACTCCATGTAGGATGGCTTGGAGGATTTTGAGGAAGGATAATCATAGGTCCCATTCTATTCAAAAATGGTTTCTTTTACCTCAATCCATTCCACTGGGTTAAAATGTGGCTAAACACGATGTACATTAAGCCCATGTTTGACTCTCTTTAAATTAATTCTTTATTTTTCATATTCACTTTCAATTACACATTTACACAATAAAATATTCTGCAAGTAAACTCAAATTTTTTCCTACTTCTTAACCACACTTTTTCCCAAAAAAAATCAAATTTAAAACATCATATTTCCTCAATTTCTCTTTATAATGGCCATCAAACAGGGGCTAAATGAGTTACTAGAGCTGAGCTTGCCACTCAAAGCTAGTCTGTACTAACAAGGAAGTCGAATTTAAACAATTTGCAACTCATTTATAATATCCAACTGAATTTGAACACTCTTTCTCATTTCCACCCTTGATCCTGCAGATAGGGAAAGAATTTTTGGCACTTTATGTCCCTAAACATAGGAACACACTAGCCGTCGGTATTTTGACAATTCCAGAGGTCCACATAGAGTTGGGGTTTTTTAAGGTCAGAATAATAGGATCTTAAGATTTATATTGAGTTTTTAACGGGGATGGTTAGAACGTAATTAGTCACTGCACACGATGACTTGTGAACATCATAACTACTCTTAACTTGAGGGACACTAAACCACTCGTCATAACTATTGTGTGCCAGTGGTACTGTCATGCGCCTTTATTAGCTTTTTGTAGAATCAGCCCACATTATTAATATCCTTTTGTGTAACTTCCTGCTTTGTACCTTTAGTGGTGGTGCACGCACGTTGGTTTGTTTTGCACCGATTATTGGTGTAGGCTCAACCCTTCTATGCGTTTGGGTGCACCTCGGACCTGAACACAAATCCTAAACTAAATGCTTATAAAGCATTTGAAATTCTTGTATTTTCCGAAGCAGGAAAAGTATTTTCCCATCATTCCTTCTATTTTCAACCTTGATACCGCTAGATTTGGCCTGTTATTCCCACTTAAAGTTCAACACCATTTTCCTACTGATACCATTTAACCCTTCAAGTCTTTGTGTAAGCAACTGAAATTAGCCATGTAAATCATTTTAAAGAAAAGTCAGACATCATGGCACCTCTTTTTGGTTTTTTGGAATTTCAGCTGGCATACATTTTGAGGTAAATTTAGATGGAAGAATAAGACGGTATGATCTGGAAATTTGGAACCAGGGATACATTCCCATGAGACTTGATTGCAAATTTGGCATAAATTGAGTACAGATGATCTCAGTAATGATCTTCTCGTCTGAAATTAAACTTTAAAAACATTCTTAAACAGGAGCATTTGACACACATTACAAAGATTCTTAAACAGGAGCATTTGACACACATTACAAAGAACTACAAAATTATTTATAACCATGCATCTTCGGAGAATCAGAAGTCATTTGGAATTGGAGTATATTCGAACCCAAAACTGTGCATTCTGTAAATTCTGTGTGATTTAGATACTTATACACATGACAGAAACACACTTCTACTTTCTTTTATTTTCTATTATAGACCTATGTGTCTTTCGTATAAAGAACGTATCTTGCTGAATATTTATCCATGAACAGGTATACAGTTCAGTTCATAAAACCTTTGGAGCTGCCACGTAAAAAAACGCAGTGCAAACTACAGGCAAGAAAATGGAGCATTTTCCTCTTTCTTGTTAAAGCAACTTTCTACTATTATTTGATGGTTCCGATGCATCAAGAAAGATGAATAGAATAAGCAAACGTGTTAATCTGATGTCAATTCACATTTCTTCGGGTGCATTACTGTATATTGTTTTCTTCATAGTTACATGCAGAGGATGTTCTGTAATGATCATTTTAATAGTAATTATTAAGAGACTTGATTATTTTGTGAAATTTTTTATGAAGAATGGAATTTCTTCGTGAAAGTCGAAAGGTCATGGATTGCTATTAGGCTTCCGACCCTTTTTCTTTCCTCATAATCTAAAGAGGCATAAAGCGGATTGTTTCATTACAAATTGTCCATGGCCCAAAATGACTTGAATTGTCCTTACAAATTGTTTCATTATACCATTGAAGTTTTTCACCCGTGAAGTAGATAAAGTTCACAATCACAAATTAAATTGGAATAGAAAAAGTTGAAAAAAAAAATACATAACATAAATACATACATACATATATATATATATATATA